ACACCCCCTGCTCCAGCCCTGGCACCCCACGCAGCCCGGCTCGTGCCCCTCATCCCGGGCTCCAGCTGACCCTGCTCCTTGCTCGCCATCGCTCCTGCCCTCCCCCAGCGTGCAGCAGACATGGGCCAGGCTGGCTGTCCCCGGTCCCCCTCGGTAGGGATGCTGCTTGCAAATGTCCCCAAGGCAGAGGGTGGGCTGGATTGGCACAGGGATGAAGGGAACACAGCTCATCAGCTGGCCTCGAGAGCAGGCTGGATCCTTTGGGGGCACCATGTCACCCTGCCCAGGGCACGCTGGTCACCCAGAGCTGAGGGTGCAGGCCACGGGGTGCCTGGGGTGCCCACCCTGCCTTGGGACCAGGATAGCGAAGTGGGGCAGGAGCTGTCCCTCTGCGGGCACGTGGTCCAGCCAGCAGCCCACAGCCAAGGCACCCTGGCAGTGGGGTTGGGGTCCAGCCCCAGCCCGTACACCCCCACTGCATCCCCTGTGGCTGGCTGGCAGCCCCAGTGATTTGCAGCCTTTCCAAGGGGGCAGAGGGGCTGGGCCCCGGCTGCTCTGGCAGGTGCCAGGGCTACAGCCAGAGAGAGAAGGCACCGCGGCCGCCCCAGGGCACTTGGGTGGAGAGCGGGGAGCCCCGTCACCCCAGCTGGCAGGGGTTCGGCAAGGGGGCTTGGTGCAGACCCCCAGCCCTGACAAGGTGGAGGGCAGAGGGACCACCCAGCAGTGCTGCATCCCTGCTCCGGGGACGGCGGGGCCAGCCAGTGCCTGGTAGGGGGGTCCCCACCGCAGTGGGAGGGGGGAGTGGGGCACCGTCACGCTGTCAGGTTGTGGGCAGACTTGGAGGCGCCCTGGGCTCTCTGGATGATGGCCGGGCACTTCTCCCGCCGCAGCAGCTTGTTGTTCTCGAAGAAGCCCTCATTGCGGGGCACCCCATGGGAGCCATCAGGGAAGGTCAGGAGACCTGGGGAGGGGACGGGAGGGCCGAGAGTGACGGGGCAGGGAGCAGCACCCACCTGGAATGGGGACGGAGGGATGGAGCAGGGAACACCGGACGGGGATGTGCTGAGCTGGGGCCGCGGGGGGCTGCGGCTGGCCGCACCATTCCGCTGGGCACTCACCGAAGCCGTACACACGCCCGCCTTTGAACTCGCCCTCAAAGGTCATGTTGTCGCAGCGGGTGAAGACACCGACGCCGTTGAACTTGCCCTGCACAAACTCCCCCTCGTACCTGCGCAGGAGGAGCTCCTAAGGCAGCAGCTCCCCGCAGCAAGCGGGGATGCCCGGGGGGGATGTACCTGGGGGTGCCACGCTCACCTGGAGCCGTCAGGGAAGGTGAGCACACCACAGCCGTGGAAGAGCCCGTTCTCGAAGTGCCCCACATAAGCGGTGCCGTCGGCAAATGTCAGCTGCCCGACGCCATGCCTGCGACCTAAGGCGAGGGCAGAAACGGGCAGTGCTGGACGAATGGAGGCAGGACGTGCCCCAGCATGGTGGGGGCAGGGACGTGGGGGCTTCTCAGCCCCCGGCACAGGCAGCACCATCTCCTCCCACCCTGTCTCACCTTCCTTCCACTCGCCGCGGTACTCCTCCCCATTGGAGTAGGTGAAGGAGCCTTTGGTGAGGGTCATGGTGACAGTTCCGGCAGCGCAGGGCAAGAGCTGTCAGGGAGAGGTGTGGAGGGTGGCTGCTGGGTGGAGGGAACAGCCCAGCTCACCCAGAGCACCTGCGGTCCCCTCAGCTCACGGAGAGGCACACATCTGCCCTGGGGACAGCTCTGCTGGGGCAGACCACAGGGGAGGAGGTGACCCCGGGGAACTTGGCCGCCCTGCCCTGCCTCTGAAACTCCAGCCGCCAGGTTCGGGTTGCTGCCTGCCCCACTGCAGGGCTCGAGGTGACGTGAGCCCACGGGGGTCACAGCCCCATGAAACGTAAGTGAGCACAGTAAGAGGAGCCTGGCGGGAGCTGGCTGCCTCCGGCACGGCTCCCTGGCGGGACCCAAGGGGGTCCTGCACCATGGCAGGCTCAGGCCAGGGGCCGCCCCCAGCTCTGCTTGGGGAGCCTCGGGAAGAAGCAGGCATTTGGAGATGAGACGCTTGCTGGGTTGTGCTCAGTGCCAGCTCTTCAGGGGAGGGAGCAGAGAGCTTGTGGGGTTTCCAGCTCCAGTGTGGAGGACGGGCAGACTCAGCTTACCTCCCAGGGATGGAGCGGCTGCTACTCCTAAGAGGGACAGCAGAGAGAAGACCCTAGGGCTCCAGGGCCTTGCTTGGCTGCCCAGGTTTTGCAAACCTGCCTGCTGACAGCAAGCAGCCCCCAGAGCACTGGGCACCCCCAGAGCCGCTCCTGCACAGCACAGCTCTCCCCAGCACCAGGGGCCGGCACCGGCATGGAACTGGCCCTGCAGGCAGGCTGGGCACTGCCTCTCCGGTGGCTCCTGGTGCAGCTCAGGTGGTGCCTGTGATGGGAAGGGGCTCCCCAATTCAAAAGGGGATATCCCTGATGGCACCGGGCCGCACACCCCTGGAGAGATGGGTGCCAAGCCATGCTAACCGGGCAGCCGCGGTGCCCGGGAGCACTGCAGGGAACTTGCAAGGGCTTTGTGTCCAGAGCAGAAATGGCCCTTGGCCAAGCCCAGCAGCGACTGAACAGTGCTCTTTTCTGATGGCAGAGACCAGGAGCCCAGCTCTGGCTCCCCAGCCTGCCCAGCAC